AGAACAGGTTTTGCTAAATCTCATAAATTTCAAATCATCGTGTTTTCATTTGTCTTTAGGTATGTTTCTATTTCCTGTTTGACTTCTTCAGTGCTGCATTGTTTAGTACTCTGTTGTTTAGCCTCTGTGTGTTTGTGTTTTTGCAGTTTTTCTTTTTTTGTAGTTGAGTTCTAGTGTCACAACATTGTGGTCAGAAAAGATGCTTCTCATGATTTCAGTTTTCTTAAATTTACTGAGGATTTGTTTTGCGGCCAGCATGTGATCTATCCTGGAGAATTTTCCATGTGCACTTGTGAAAAATGTGTATTCTTCTGCACAATATTCAGATGAATATTCTTTGTATATATCAATTAAGTCCATCATTTCTAATGTGTCATTTAAGGCTTATTGATTTTCTGTCTGGATGATCAGTTCATTGATGTAAGTAGGATGCTAAATTTCCCCCACTAGTATTGTGTTACTGTTGATATCTCCCTTTATGTCTGTTAATATTTGCTTTATATATTTAAATGTTCCTATGTTGGGTGCATATGTTGTTACATATGTTTACAATTATATCTTTTTCTTGGATTGATCCCTTGACCCATTATGTACTGTCCTTCTTTATTTCTTGTAACAGTCTTTATTTTAAAGTCTATTTTGTCTGATATAACTTTTGCTACTTCACCTTTTTTTTTTTTCCACCCCCTCACTTTCAGTCTGTGTATATCTTTAGATCTGAAGTGAGTCTCTTGTAGGCAGCAGCTGTTTGGGTCTTGTTTTTATATCCATTCAGCTACTCTGTGATTTTGATTGGAGCATTCAGTACATTTACATTTTAAGGGAATTATTATATATATGTTATTACTGCCATTTTGTTAATTATTTTGGAGTTGTTTTGTGGATGTTTATTTTTTCCTTTCTTCTTCTTTTTTCTTTTATCTTGTGATGTGGTGACTGTCTTTAGAGTTATATTTGGATTCCTTTTTCTTTTTGTGTGTATGTCTATTATAGATTTTTGGTTTGTGGTTACCATGAGGTAAGTAGGTATATGTATATGTGTATTAAGTTGCTGATACCACAGTGTCAAGTGCATTTTAACCAGCCTGCATTTGGACTCTGTTCCTCTCATGATACTGTTATTTATATCATATTTTACATCTAAATGGTTTCTGTATTCTTTACCTGCTTATTGTGGATATCAGTGGTTTTACTACTTTTGTCTTTTAACCTTCCAGCTAGCTTTGTGCATGGATGGTCCTGGGGTTATTTCCGAACTACTGGAAGGCAGAGCAGGTCTTGGAGTCTAGTTGCAGGATCCAGGAATTCTAGAGCTGGTGTCAGATTACTGCTAGTGGTAGGTGGGTTTCTGACACAGAGCCTGGGGTATCCAGAAGCTTGAATTGGCCTGCTAGTGGGCAGAGCCAGGGCTAAGTTTGTCCCAGGACAGGGTCTGGCCTTTTGGTCAATGATCTGGGTCTGCAGACTGCAGGATTGTGGCTTTCTTGCATCTGGTGCCTGCCCATGGTGGGTGAAGGAAGGTCCTGGGCCCTCTGGTGGTAAGGGTTGTGTCCTGAGGCAGCTACAGACTCATGGGGTCTTCAGGCAGCCTGTCTGCTGATGAGTGGCCCAGTTAGTAACATGGCCTGAGGTGTCCTATAGTTTCTGGGGGCATGGCTGGGTCCCAGGGCTAACTAGAGGGAGGATTCCACAATGATACTTGCCAACACCAATGTCCATGTGATAGAAGGAGCTCCCTAGAATGGTTGCCACTGGTGTCTGTGTCCCCAGGGTGAGCTGCAGTTGCCTCCTACCTCTCTGGGAGACTCTCCAAAACTAGCAGTTAGATCTGACCCAGGTCCCTATCAAATTATGACTAATTTTGAGATCCTGGAACATGTGAGATTTTGTGGGCACCCTTTACAAGTGAAGTCTGTATTTTCCCCAGTGCTCTGGTACCTTCCAAAATTAAGCCCCACTGACCTTCAAAGCCAAATAAATGCTCTCAGGGTTCATCTTCCTGGTACAGGATCCCTAGAATGGGGGGCCTGACATGGGCTCAGACCTCATACTCTTGTGGGAGAACCTCTGCTGTGGAATTATTCTCCAGTTTGTGGATATCCACCTAGGGGTATGGGACTTAACTATATTGCAAATCCACCTGTCCTACTCATCCTGATATCGTTCCTTCTTTTGTCTTTAATTGTAGAGGATCTTTTCTGGTAGGTTCTCGTCTTTTTCATCAGTGGTTGTTCTGCTTATCATTGTTATTTTGATGTAATCATGAGAGGAGGTGAACTCATCCCTGATAGGTTATTATAAGATAGTGGGTATAATTCTCTGTGCTATACAGTATATTCTGGTTGCTTATCTGTTTTATATATAAATTACTATTTGTATCTGTTAATCCCACATCCCTCATCTGTCCCTCCCCCTCCCCTTTCCCCTTTGCTAACCACAAGTTTGTTTTCTGTGTCTGTGTCTGTTTATGTTTTATATATGCATGCATTTGTGTTACTTTTTAGATTCCACATGTAGATTATTTCATACAGTATTTGTCTGTCTCTGTCTGACTTATTTTACTCAGCAAATATTCCTTAAATCTCTCCCTGTTGCTACAGATGACAATATTGTATTCTTTTTTATGGTTGAGTAATATTCCCTTGGGTATATACCATGTCTTTTTAAACCAGTCATCTGTTGATGTATACTTGGAATCAACCCAGTTGTGGCTAGTTTGTTTTTAATCTACATGCACTATAAACATTGTGACTGATTATCAACAAAATGAAGCTTCTGTTGTGCTGGATTAGGTTTAGTCGCTCAGTCATGTCTGACTCTTGTGACCCTATGGACTATGGGCTCCTCTGTCCATGGGATTTTCCAAGGCAAGAATACTGGAGTGGTTTGTTGTTTCCTTCTCCAGCACATCTTCCCAAACCAGGGATCGAACCTGGGTCTCCTGTATTGCAAGCATCTCTTTATCAACTGAGCCACCAGGGAAGCCCATAGACCAGTTGTGCTGAGGAAGGGCTAATTTTCTTTGGATATTAGGAGCAAAGAAACAGAATGGTATAGAGAAAAATGCATCCAGTCCTTTTTTTAAAGCAGATTTAACTGATAATTCAGTATAATCAGAACCATAAAAAGTCTTATCAAGTCAAATCATGGAGGAAATAATGATAAATTTTTCCATAGTCATAATAGAAAAAAATTTTATTGCCTGTTATATGCCAGGCTCTGTACTTATTCATTGAATAAATACATTTTAGTCACCTACTGTGTGCTAGGTACTTAAATAGACTCTGATAAACAAAATGGACATACTACCTACCTTTATTTCATATTCACACTAACTCTACACAAGATATGTTATGGTTACTTAAATTGAAAATCAGAAATGTTAACTAGTCCGGAATTGCAGAGTTAACTGTCCAGAATTACACAGCCAGTAAATAATGGAGGGCTTCCCTCATGACTCAGCTGGTAAAGAATCCACCACCAGTGCAGGAGACCTGGGTTCAATCCCTGGGTTGGGAAGATCTCCTGGCGAAGGGAACAGCTGCTCACTCCAGTATTCTGGCCTGGAGAATTCCATGGAATGTATAGTCCATGGGGTCGCAAGAGTCAGACATGACTGAACAAGTTTCACTTTCTTTTACTAAATTGTAGAGCTAGGATTTGAATTCAGGTCTGTGTGATTCCACAGACCATATTTTTCCTTAAAGCTACAATAATGTGTTCCAGTATGTGACCGAAGTAAGGGAGTGCAAACACATACACAGATATATAAAGGCATGAAATGCAAAAATTTGCATTGCCTAAATGAACTGCACTGTTTTATCTGGGGTAGATAATCTTGGCTAAATTGTTGCTGCAGTCTTCTCTTTGCCCCCCTAGTTTATTCAAAACGTAGCAGCTAGAGTGACCTTAAAATACAAATCCTATTTAGTTACTCTTCCTGTACAGACCCTCCAATGGAGCGCCTCCTCCCATGTCCCATCCCTCCTACCTCAGTCTCTAGAAGTAACCAAAGTCATTGTTATCAGCTTGGTGTGTATTCTTTCAGCTTTGAGTATTCATTTGCAACCTTTTTATTTAAATAGAAACATAGGACACATATTATTCTGCAGATTGCTTGTATTTTCAGTTGAATGCCCTATGTTCCTAACATAAAAATCTATATTCTCTTGATATATATTGTTACAAAGTAGAATGAGGAAAGCTGTGTTATTGATTCCAAATTACACAACTCTTTTATCATGTTGCTATATGATGATTGATTTTGCATTCATAAAACAAGCAGCATCTTTTATAACAATTACCTTTTTGTATCTGTAGCATGAAATAACTTACTTTAAAAAATTACTGTTGCCGTGTGTGTGTGTGTGTGTGTGTGTGTGTGTTAGTCACTCAGTTGTGTCCAACTCTTTGCGACCCCGTGGACTGCAGCCCACCAGGCTTCTCTGTCCATGAGATTTTCCAGGCAAGGATACTGGAGTGGGTTGCCGTTTCCTTCTCCAGGGGATCTTCCCAACCCAGGGATCGAACCCGGGTCTCCTGCACTGCAGGCAGATCCTTTACAGACTGAGCTACAAGGGAAGCCCACTGTTGCCATAGGAGTGTAATATTTGTCATGTTGCTAGATTCATTATTAGAGCATAGTTTCTTAAATTATGAGTAATTGTTAGAATTTCTTCTTTTACCATAGTTAACTTCCAGTTGAATATTTTCAACTGCTCTTGCCTCTGCTCTTTAGTAGACATGTTAAGGCTACGTTAAGTAAAATGAAGAACTGAGGGCCAATCATGGAAGCAGGGGACTTGGCTTTACTCATTCAATGCTATTAAAATTAGTTATTTGATAAGTGAATTGTGCCACTGTGGGTAAAGACTGCAAACTATAGCTTCACATTTGCTTTTGATGAAAAATATGATTTTCAATATATTCTATTTCATTTATATCCTTATTTTAGTTGTTTTGGATTTAATATATTAAAATCTTTTTATTTTTAATTACAGTCTCGAGTTGTAGCTGTGCTGGATTGGGAGCTTTCAACCATTGGTCATCCTTTGTCAGACTTGGCTTATCTCTCCATGTTCTACTTTTGGCCAAGGACTGCTTCATTGGGAAATCAAAGCTATCATTTGCAAGAAAACATAGGTATGAAAACATAATGTTGCCTAAATTTCTATTAAGGTAAAATTGTCTTTATTTCTCTCCATAATTAACAAAAGATAATTTTATAATCTTAGATAAACAGCTTTTATTTGTTTGAATGTTTTATTTGTTTGTTTGAAATGTTTTTAAATCATCTTTATCAATTTTTTTTAAGTGTGCCCTTCCACTTTTAGTAATTTGTGACAAAATATAATCATTTCTATATACTATTCTTTTGGAAATAAATATTTGGAGCATGTTTTGCTTTGTAGAAAAGTGGTTTTATATTCAATTTTATATGTAATATGACATTTAAAATTATTCACCCTGACATTTTTATTAAAGTTCATAGTATGTACTGTTTTTATAGGGATACCATCAATGGAAGAACTGATTTCAATATATTGCCGCTGCAGGGGAATTAATTCTAATCTTCCTAACTGGAATTTCTTTCTTGCCCTTTCATATTTCAAAATGGCTGGAATAACACAGGTAATTAATTTTTTAACATGCATTTCTTGAAAATATTTTTGGTTTTGAGGGGTTTTACATTCTTTTTTTTTTTTTTTTGGCCATGTAGTCACTTGGCTTGTGGAATCTTAATTCCCTAACCAGAGATTGAACCCAGGCCCCTGGCAGTGGAAGTACAGAATCTTAACCACTGGACCAGAGAATTCCCTTATACTAGTATCCTTAGATCAATTTATTTTCCACAATGACAAATACCAAACATGGATAAAATATAAGTTCAGAGTTTACAGAATAGGAATTTGCAAGGGAAAAAGTTGAGTAACAAATGTAGTATAATAGACCAAAAAGATGGAGGAAGGGAGAGAAAAAGACATAATGATAAAAATAAGAAAAGCATGTGAAAATTGGTTATTTCCTGAATATCAATATAAGAAAGAGCTAAACTCCTAATGTGACATCTGATTCAGATTGTAAAGCCATTTATTAATCAGAGCTGATGGTGAGGAAAGAATTATTATATTTCCCAAAGCCTAGCACAGTACCTAGCATACAGAAGCCTCTTAGTTATGTTTTTGAGTGAAGATAAGCAAAATTGTCTGTTTTCCTAATAATATGATAAATTTTGAGAGAAAATTGAACATAAGTACAGTTTTTTTTAAATTTACAGTTTAAACAAATGCATTCTTCATTATACTACCTCATTAAACTAATTCTTCATTAACCTAACTTTGAATATTTGTTTATTTAAGAAATTAAGATGCTTGATTACTAACAAGGGGTTAGGATTTATAGGAAGAAGAAGTAAATAAGAGATTTTATAAACAAAAGGAATGGGAAAAGAAAGATTAAGGAAAATTATGGTTATTTTTCCCTGTCCTCAGAGTCCATGCTGTCCTCCAATACCTGAAATATCTTCTAAGAAGTTGTTGTGTTATATCTCATCCTGTAGTTTAGAATGATATTACTCATATTAGTTAATCTTGTTGCTTGGATGGATTTCTCATAATAAGGTTTATGGTGTGTTTCTGTATGTCACTTTCCACAAAAAAGATACCAAATAGGCTGTCAATTTAAAGTGGATTTTCATTTCAAATGAAAACTTGACATGGTTTATGATTGAAATTAATATGTCATTAACTACTATATGTCATAAACTATATAGTAGTAACTTTAGAGATGATCATAAACATTCCATTCTAACTAGAAATGTGAAATTGGAAATGATGGAAAGACTGTTACAGTGTTAATATTGTACAAAGAATTACATAAAGAAGTAAACTAGTGAAATTCAGTTGATATTGTTTAGGGCAGGGAACCAGAGAATATATTATGTTGGAAGCACAGAACATGGAGAGGTAAGAAAAAAAAAGTTGAGCATTCCACTAACACTGTTCAAAGGAGAATAGTTTCACCTAAATTAAAGGTCCAAAAAATGAGATAAAATATTCTTAGAAGTCATTTCACTGTCTTCTTTTTGGTTTTATAATTTTTAATTTTATTTTGATTTCTTTAGTTTTTTTTTTCTCCACTATGAAGGTAGAACAGTGATCTTTAGAGATGATATAACTTGCAAAATGGTATCTTTGGTAACTGCTAAAGTAATTTTGAAGTTTGGTTTGATTTCCAGCTATAATTCTGTTATGATGAGAGTGTGTTAACTAGATGATAAGCATGTCATACTTTCATTTGGACTGGCATAATTTTTCCTGCATATAAATTAATAGAATTGATAGTCAGATTTATATCTTAGTACTTTGTAAGTTTTGTGATTCACATAGCTGGAAAACTGGAAAGACTGGATAGCTGAAGAATAGTTTCCATTGAATTTTAATCACTTTATGTTAATTTACTTATAGGGAATTTATAATAGATATCTTCTGGGAAATAATGCATCTGAAAATAACTTTCAATATGCCAACGCTGTGCAACCTCTGGCAGAAACTGGATTGCGGCTCTCAAAAAGGTAAGCAAAATATAGATTCTGTGGTTAACTCAAATAAAGTCTTTATTAGGTATGTGAGGGTCATAAGCTTTAGAAAGATAGGGATTGTTTTTATTGCTTACAACACAAGGATTACTGCTGCCAACCATGGTTATTCTTCTTTTTTTTTTTTGGTAAATCTCTTTTATGCTTGAAAATAAGTTGAATTCACATATAAAGAAATATCAATTTAATATTAAAAGGTTTTTCTCTTTTGCCAAGTTGAATTATAAACTTTTAAGGATATTGATAAAATTCTGAAATGTTCCCTTCTAATGTTTGTCACTTACATATACCTATTTAAAATTATGTATTATATAAGATGATTTATTAAGTTTAAAAATGTTGCTCTCTTCCACCATCAAATTGCATGAAACTGTATTCAGACATTTAAGCATCTTTTAATTCATATGATGTCCATTAGTGGGGCACTTCTGAGGCATTAATATACTTTTTCAAACCATACCTCCATCTAACAGGTGTGATGCAGGGGGAGGGTAAATTAGGGGGTTGAGATTAACATATACACACTACAATATATAAAATAGATAATCAATAAGGACCTGCTGTATAATGGGAGGAACTCTACTCAATATTCCCATAAGCTTTATGGGGAAAAAATCTGAAAAAGAATAACTATATGTATGTGTATAATTGAATCACTTTGGTATACCTGAAACTAACACATTGTAAACCAACTACTCTCCAATGTAAAATAAAAGTTAGAAAAAAAAAAAAACACAACAGTGTGATACATAGCACTTACTGAATGCATGAATGATGTTGCCCCTGGAAATTTTGCCCAAGTCACAAGTTTCCATGACATCACCTTGAAAGTGAGTGTTAGTTGCTCTGTTGTGTCTGACTTTTTATGACACCGTGACCTGTAGCCCTCCAGGCTCCTCTGTCCGTGGAATTCTCGACGCTAGAATACTAGAGTGGGTTGCCATTTCCTTCTCCAGGAGAACTTCCCGACCCAGGGACTGAACCCAGAGCTCCTGCACTATAGGAAGATTCTTTACTGTCTGAGCCGCCAGGGAAGCCTGACATCACCTTAGCACCGTTGTATTTTACACTTCATCTTATACATGAACATTTGTGATCTCTGTAACATAATAGATGATGGTGCTTCTCTTCATCATGATCTTTAAAGATCTTACTTATAATGACATCCTGCAGTTGTATTTGTGAGGCATATACTAGGAGTGTCTAATCCTATTTGTGTCCAATTTCTTTGCCTTCTTGTTTAGAGATTTTGATGGGTGAATTCAATAAAGATTTTAAACTCCCGTTGATTGAGGTCATGCCAGGCTATCTTTTCTCCAAAAAGTGCTTTAAGCACTAAAGTTTAATGTTCAAAATAAAGTGATTCTGCATTCCTCCCATAACCATGAAAGATTAAAAAAAAAAAAAAGCTCCAAAATACGGAAGCTCTTTCTGAGAGATGTTTTTGGGGAATTGTGGGAAGACTTCACATTCTATTCAGAAATCTGTAATAATGACTTTGGACATCTTTGTAACTTTTTTCTTCTTTGTAATTTTTTTTTAATAAAGATCTTTCAGCACTGCACTTCCACAGACTGATACTGCCCGTCAGTTGTTTGTACAGACTCGGACAGGTCAGGAAGTTCTTATTAGGGTGAAGCAGTTCATGAAACAACATATCCTCCCAGTGGAAAAGGTAAGTATTCTATAAATCAACAGAATGTATTTGTGCTTCAAGACTATTGGTGAATTACTTCTGTTACCTCTTCTTCTAGGAGTACCCTGGTATCATTTCTTTGCAGTCAATCCTTACCTAGATGCCCCTTCTCACCTTAGCACTGAACTGCTACAGAGCCTAATGCTGAAAAATGCCATGCTTCTAAAATATGCCAAGGGAATGCCACATAAATTTGTGGAATTAAAACTAAGTCAAAGGGAATTAGCTGTTTGTAAAGTTAAGATCTTTGAATAGAATAAAACATTACTTTGAGGGTCTTTTCCTAAGGCAGTGACTTTCAGCCTTTTTTTCTGTATGAGCCCCTTTAAAAATTAAAAGGACTTTATCTTAAACAAAAAGGGCATACCCAGAAAATTTTGTATATCATTTGAAACTGTACATGGATACTACCACTGTTCCCCTCACAAGCTCCTGTTCTAAGGTGTTAAGTTTCAGTAAATCCACTGAGAGTAGACAAGTAATGTGACACATTCATTCAGTTAACAAATAATAATTGGGTACCAAGTAATGGGTTAGGCACCTAGCAAACCATTGAAAGTAAAAGGAAGAATAAGAAGACAGGACTTCCTGTACTCCTACAGAGTTTATACTTTAGCATGAAAGAAAGGCATTAAGAGTTGATAAATGCTGTGAAGAAAAGATAAAAACTATTATGACTATATAAGGCATTCTTGCCTCAAATTAGGTTGTCTTGGACAAATAACTATCTCTCAGAGGCCCAATTTCTTTATCTACAGTATGACTAGGTATGACTATATACATAATAAATTCCCATTTAAATCTTCTGTGATTCTGAGAGCTCTAGAGCTTGGTGAGAAAAATTAAATAGAAAAGTGAAAAAGACTAAAATTCTTTCAACAAAAATTTTCAGTGTTGATATGTGTTTATAGAGCAGTTACATTTGTTGATTGAATTATATGAATAATTATAGTATTTTTAGTGAAGATGTGGAGTGAGATGAGCTTGGCTCACAGTGTGGAATATAACTTAATATGAAGAAGTGCTTTCCAAAATAGTCACTCCTTATATGTGGTCAGTGGTTAAGGTATTACTTTGCAGATTTTCTGCTCTAATTAGTATATATACAATTTTGAGGTTTAAAATTCTGAACTTTTGATGACCATAATGTAAGACGGTACTATAAATCTTATAGAGGAAAACATGGCAGAATGCTGTCTGACATGAATTTCAGCAATATCCCTTTGGATCCACCTTCTAGAGGATGAAAATAAAAACAAAAACAATTGGAACCTAATTAAACTTAAAAGCTTTCGCACAGCAAAGGAAAAAACCATAAAACAAAAAGACAGCTCACAGAATGGAAGAAAATATTTGCAAATGATGCAACCAACAAGGGATTAACCTCCAAAATATACAAAAGCTCATGCAGCTCAATAGCAAAGAAACAAACAATGCAGTCAAAAAATAGGCAGATCTAAGTAGACATTTCTCCAAAGAAAACATGGCTGAAAAGCATATAAAAATATGTTCAATATCACTACTTTTATTAGAGAAATGCAAATCAAAACTACAGTGAAGTATCACCTCACACCAGTAAGAATGGCAGTCAAAACCTACAAACAGTAAATTGTGGAGAGGGTATGGAGAAAGCAGGAACTTCCTACACTGTTGGTGAGAATGTAAATTGGTGCAGCCACTATGAAGAACAGTATGGAGATTCCCTAAAGAACTAACAGTAGAGCCACCCTATGATGTAGCAGTCCCACTCCTGGGCATATATTCAGAGAAACTCTAATTCTGAAAGATAGATACTCCCCAATGTTCATAGCAACACTATTTACAATAGCTAAGACATGGAAGCAACCTAAATGTCCATCAACAGATGAATGGATAAAGAAGATGTGGTACATATATACAATGGAATATTACTAAGTCATAAAAAAATGAAATAATGCCATTTGCAACAACCTGAATGGGCCCAGAGATTATTATACTAAGTGAAATAAGTCAGACAGAGAAAGACAAATGTCATATGATATCACTAATATGTTGAATCTGAAAATATAATGCAAATGAACTTATGAACTTATTTATAAAACAGAAACAGATTCACAGACTTAGAAAACAAACATGTTTACCTAAGGGGAAAGGTGAAGGAGAGAGATAAATTAGGAGTTTGGGATTAACACATATATATTACTATCTATAAAATATATCATCAACAAGGACCTACTGTATAACAAAGCGAACTCTACTCACTGCTCTTTAATAACCAATATGGGACTGAAAAAGAATATGTATAACTGAAGCATTTTGCTGTAAACCTGAAACTAACACAACATTGTAAATCAACTATACCCCCTGTAAAATTAAAATTTTTAAAAATAAAATTCTGAACTTTGAGGTATTAAAAGAAAATACAACACTTTGAGTTGAAGATGGCAGACTGAAATCTTGGATGAATAAAATCCCCTTGAATTAACAATAATTTTTTTAACTGTAGTTTTAAAAGCACAAAAATAGGAGAAGTACACATTAGAGGACTAAAGGTTTTGAAAAAAGAATGGAAATTGGATTTGGAAAGCAGAATGGATCATACCAAAGACTAAACCTTAACAGCCACATTTCAAGAGAATTTCAAAGTGAGAGAGGTCTTTAATGCAGATGGTAACCAATTTTTTCTTTTTACAATGGACCCCCTATGATTGCCTTTATGAAGAGGAAGAGAAATCAAGATATTTGATTGAAGAATAAACCTGTAATATGTGGGCTGCTTGGGCTGGTTTCTAACACTCCTGGGTAGCAGCAGTGATTGCTCCATACAAAAGGCTGCCAGAGTACTCTAAGAAAGCAGATGATCTGTTTCCAAAAAACCAGCGCTTCAAATGATGGTTAGTGCTCCAGAGAAGAGTTCTGCACTTTTTTTTCCCCAGTGTGGGATTTGGTGTAGACCCCAACTGGCCTATCAGCCTACCTGATTTATTCAAAGGAGAGTCAACTGGCAGAGGAAACCAAGTAGCCTTGTTCTTTCATTCCTAAATGTAAATGAGCAATCAAGGGAAGCACAGAAGAGGTGTTACTAGTTGGATCATGATACATCTGCTGAACCTCATCTCATGCAGCTACTAAAATATTTATAAATAATTTTCAATAAAATGCTTTGTGATAAATTTAGAAAAAGCAATCTATAGTTTTAAAGGAAAGATTGTCAACATTTTGTGTGGCAAGGAAGGCCATAACCATTTTCTGTTTGCAGATTTTTCAAATTTAGAATATATCTAATGAGAGCTTTTCCTTCCTTTTAAAAACTTGTACTAACCTCTGTAAATGTTTTATCCTGTAGAATATTCTGAACAGTACTAATCCCTATCTGTGAACACATGCATTTGAAATGATGCTTGGAGAAAAGTAATTAGCTTTTTCAAAATAGAACGAGAGAAAGCCTATAAAATTCTGTCCACTATGATTATAACTATATTTATAAAAACTAGAACAGTCATATCTAGAAAATAAGATTGTATCATATAATACAATAACATCTTAATATTAGATATCTATGGTAGTAAGACTCCTGATGATTTTCTCTTAATACTTTATATATCTTCCCAACTTATAACAGGAAAAAAATAAGGTTCAATTTATGCCCTTCTAATGACCTTTTACAATTGTCTGGATATCATAAAGTAAGAACATAACAACCCATTATCCATTACCATGTTAAAAGGTGATTCTTCCTGGAGGGGAGGGAGAGGGAATTGGTGGTAATCAAAAGGTATAAACTTCCAGTTATAAGATAAATAACTAGGAATGTAATACACAGCATGATAAATACAGCTTACAGTTATGTGTGAAAGAAAAAATTTTTTATATTTCCTTAATTTTATATCTATATGAGATGTGTATATTCACTAAACATTGTGATAATCATTTCATGATGTATGTTAGTCAAGTTATTATGCTGTATACCTTAAATATATACAGTGCTATAAGTCAATTATATCTCAATAAAACTGGAAGAAAAAAGGAAATGAAATAAAGGCAATTCTTCTTTAAAATGAATAAGGAGTCTTAAAATAGCATGTAAAACAGAAACTAGCAACATGACATACTTGAGAACACACTTTTAATATAATGGTAACATTAGGCATATTTTTTACTGAATCTAATAATATATTAGGGAAGAATTCTTGCTTCTTTTTTTCTAACAGACTTAAGTTTAAAGTGAAAAATGTATTATATTGCGAAATTACTTATAGGTTCAGATTTAAGACTATGAACTAACATACTCCAAAGCAGTGTCTCTGTCAGTGAATGAGAAAGTTAAATATTAAAGGTGATATCTGGGGAGAATTGATGAGGCACCAAGCATATTTTCTGTTTTCCTTTTCCATCAATAAACTATTTTTTCATACTTTAAGAATTAAAGAAAGATTCTTTAAAGAAAGATAACTTATATTATTTTAATTCTGACTTCTACCATACCACATGTTGTGTTGTTCAGTCGCTAAATCTTGTCCAACTCTTTGCAACATATAGATTTTGCAAAATTCCAAATCAATAGACTTTTTTTTTAATCAATAGACTTTAAACAGAAGTATTAAATAATACTTCCCTCATAGCTCAGTTGGTAAAGAATCCATCTGCAATGCAGGAGACCCTGGTTCAATTCCTGGGTTGGGAAGATCCCCTGGAGAAGGGATAGGCTACCCACTCCAGTATTCTTGGGCTTCCCTTGTGGCTCAGCTGGTAAAGAATCTGCCTGCAATGAGGGAGACCTGGGTTCGATCCCTGTGTTGGGAAGATCCCCTGCAGAAGTGAATGGCTACCTACTCCAGGATTCTGGCCTGAAGAATTCCATGGACCTCAGTCCATGGTGTCGCAAAGAGTGGACATGACGAGCAACTTTAACTTTCACTTGGTGCTGGAAAAGACTGAAGGCAGGAGAAGAAGGGGACAACAGAGGATGAGATGGTTGGATGGTATCACAGACTTTATGGACTTGAGATTCAGCAAACTCTAGGAGTTGTTGATGGACAGGGAAGACTGATGTCTTGCAGTCCATGGGGTCACAAAGAGTCAGACATGCATGACTGAGTGGCTGAACTGAACTGACAAATGGCATAGTGTAATTTCTCACAACTATAGAGTCAAACAGAGGTAGTCACAGATGGGAATTTGTATGTGTATTACATAACACATTTCTTATCAAACACAATTGCATTACTAATTCCATGGCAACATGAGGGATGGAATGTTAATAATTAACAACCATAAACAGGAAGTCTTCCAACTTAACTTATTTCCCAATGGAAATGACAAGTACTGTTCATTGTGGTGCCTGTGAAAGAGCCATCCTTTGTCTTCTTGAAGTTTTAGACTAGCCATGCTTCAATAAAAGGAACATTTTAGCATATTTACTTATATGACTGTAATTTGGTGGAACAATTTTAGAAAACAATTTTATAATACAGAGTTTTGACCAATGTTCATAGTCTTACTTCAATAATTCTATTAGCCTATATGTAGAAAATGAGTTCAGAGTTGTTTTAAGAGCAAAATATTGGGAAATGTCCTCAAAGTCTAATATTTTAGTTCACAGATTAGAGATTACTGTTATAGTTTTTATGTAGCTAGTTGTTAAATTTCAACTTATCCTTGTATTTATCACTTTATTTATTTACTATTCCTTCTTACAATGTAGATGTTCCTTCTTGGATCAAAATCCTTTAATGAGAATCTGCTAGGAAACACTTATTTTTCTTTCTTTTTTTTTTCAAATCTGAAAAGGGAAGTAATGATTCTCTCTGTATCCATCGTATCTTTTAACCACTCATATTTTCCTTTCATTGAATTTCTGTGCTTCATTCAAGGAGTAATTTCAGATCCTTCTTTCAATTTATTATTATTTGAATGTAACTAGTCCATCTTTCAACGTTGCATAGAGGGGTATATCTCATTATTTGGATTGTGTCAGAATTGCCTAGAGAGATAGTTAAGATTACAAAAATAGGAATACATAAGTAGACTCATCGAGGAAGGATACAGCCTGGACCCTTGTGTTTTATCAGGGGATTCTGATGCCCACCAAAATTTGAGAATCGTTGCCATTGGGTTTTTAAATTTAATTACTATGGTTTTTCTTTGCCTCGAGTTGTATTCAGTCTTTTTCAGGTTTGTCTGCCCAAGTTTGATAGTCCTTTGTTGGCCTCTTAATTCCTTCTTTTATTCTTGGAATCTATTGGACACACATACTTTTTATTCTGTATTTAATCATGTGGCCTTTGGGGGTATGATTCTATCTTGTTGAACTTTTGTTTTTGCTAATTCTTGCTAATGGTGGTTTGTTACCTTGAGTGTTTAGTTTTTTCATTCTGGACTCATGTTCTTTGGAATGGACTTTTATCTGCAGGTATTAGTCAAGACTTTTTAAAAAGAACTTTTCCTCCAGAGTGAATTTGCTTTTGCTTCTGCAGTACTTTCAGGCACTGTTATCAGGAACACTGTAAACTTAATTTTTGACTTGAATCTTTAGGGCCACATAGGTCTGTGAATTCAGATCTCAAACTTGATTGAAAACAGGCTTCAGGTTAGAAATGTTTCTTTTTTCTGTTCCATCCTGTGAATGGCCTTTATTCAGCTTTTTGTTTTTATTTTCTACTTTTTTCCACTTAGGTTTTGCAGATCAGGCATCCTGGCTTTGATGCACGCAAGTGGTGGTCTCTGATCCCTCCTCTTGCCCTGTTTCTGACATTTGGTTTTGCCTGCCTGTGTGGCCCATTGGAAACTAGGATCTAGGCTAATATGGATCAGCCTACACCCTCCAGACAAACTTGGTTCCAGTGCTCACTCACACCTAAGTCAAGCATTTTATTCCTGGCCTCTGAGGAGTTTCCTTATTTTTGTTTCAGTACAGCTATGTATTATTACATGTATTTTTAAATTATTTTTAATATTTTACCCAGCATTTTTAGTTGTATTACCCTGGGAGAGGATTCTATGACCATCTAGTATGCCATCTTACTGAAAATGGAACACTCGAATCTTGGTGTAGGATTTTCAAAGTTAATTCTGTAATAGCAAGGCAGCATAATTTTGTGAGGGATAAACTATTGTATTATTTATTATAACTATATATTATATATGATTATATATTACACATATAATTATATGTATTAGCCTGGGCCCTAGTTTCCAATGGGCCACATAGGCAGGAGTCAGGAAGCAAAACCAAATGTCACAAATAGGGCAAGAGGAGGGATCAGAGATCACCAGTTCCCTCTACCAAAGCTAGGATGCCTGATATGCAAAAAAAAACTATAAAATTTTTTATAATTCTGTGTCTGATTTTAGAAAGAAATTTTCCTGATTCAATAGCAGCTGAAAGAGCTTTTCACTTAAATATGTTTATTTACTTTGGATATTAGCAGCTTATGGCATTACTTTTCTTAACTCTAACTAGTGAACTTTTTTTTCCTTTTATACTTTTAGGAGGTAATTGAGTTCTGTATTCAAAATGAAAATTCAGTGGACAAGTGGAAAAAACCTTTAGTAATTGATAAACTCAAGGTAAGAAAAATAAGAGAACCTTAAAATTGGAGAATTTATATGCAGGTTTTTTTTGAGAACTTAGTTTGTTGTCTCTTCTCTTGTTATATATGTAGAGGATAATTACATCACTTATAACTTTTGTTATATATGTAGAGGATAGTTATTCAAGTATACTTTTTAAAAAATTTAAAAATAGAATCTGTAATATACTAATTAGTTTACATAGGGTGTTGTGTGTGATATGTAATGAAGACAGCCTCTTATAGCTATTCAAATTAAAAATACAATCAACACTCTCACTTGAGACTGAAGTTGAGGCAGAGTATTTGTCCCACATAGGCTTAATCCAAATTTCATGTTTTCAAATGTTAACACATGTTAGAAATTGAAGTGCACAAAATAGTGTATTTGGCATAATTATACTCAAATGGAAGAGATTTTATAATAGCTATGATTCAGTAAGAAGCACTCAAGTAAGTAAATTTAGTTTTTCAGCCAAATATGAGGAAGCTTTTTGAAAAAGTCATTTATTTAACCATTGAGAAAATGTTGATTTATAATGAATTAATGACTCTGCACATTGTAGGATACAATGAAATAATTTCATAAGTTTGAAAGGCATAAATACCAATATCTTTTAAAAGTAAACTGTTTTAGGTTGTGATAAATTATGGTCACTCTGGCATATTCATCATCTTGACAGGAAATGGCCAAAGCAGAAGGCCTCTGGAACTTGTTTTTGCCAGCTATAAGCGGTCTCACCCAAGTGGACTATGCCTTGATTGCTGAAGAAACTGGAAAATGCTTTTTTGCTCCAGATATCTTTAACTGTCAAGCACCAGGTTACGACATTATTTTATTTTATTTTATTTTATTTTATTTTATTTACGACATTATTTTAAAACATAACTTTTTCAGATATTTTAAGCAGTGTTTAAAATTTCTCTATTTTTTGATAAGGAAATTTTTCTACACAAAGTTACTGATTTATAAATTTGTAATTTTACTTTTTACTTTCATTTAAATGTTAAAAAAATGGATCTAATGTTCTCATTGTATTATTATTTTATTAAGCATCATTACATTGAGTATTATTGAATAGAAGTTACCATCAAAGGGATTGGCATTATAAGGTTTCCAGTTTTCTGACTCAGTATTAAATATATCTATGGTTAATTAGAATGAATAGAGTTTTTAAATCTTTTGGTTAGCCTCACTATCTCTCCATTTACTTGCCCATTATTTATCAGTTGCCTACTATATGCTAAGTACCATTTTAGGAACTCTGGATAAATCATGAAATAAAATACACAAAGCTTTCTGCCCTCACGGAGTTGACATTCTAATAGAAACAAACAAAAATAAACACCAGATAGATTAAATAAGTAATTTTACAGTAAGTTTGAAGATGAAAGGTTCTTTGGAAGAAAAAAACCCAGCAAGGTAGGGAAGTGCTGGAATGCTGAGAGATGGGGAATATGTATTACAATTTATTATTAAGATGAAAGGCACAGGATAGTCCTTATTGAAAAACTGACATTCGGTAAAGACTTAAAGAGGGTGAGACAGTCAGCCATGCTGAGATCTGGGGGAAGAGTTTTCATAGCATAGAGAACATAAAATACAAAGGCCTTAAAGCATGAATGTGATTGGGGTATTTTAGGAATAACCAAGGAGGTTATTGTGGCAGGGATAGAGAAGTAGAAGATATCAGAGGGAAAGGGTCTTATGTGTTGGGACTTAACAGGCTGATGACAGCTTGTAGTTTAATGAAGTGGACATTTGAGCAGAGGAATGACAAGATGTCTCTTCAGTTTTTAAAGGATCCCTTTGGCTACCATGTTGAGAATTAACAAAAGGAGAAGGATATAAGCAGGGAGTCTTGTTGTGATGGTCCTGAGTGATGATAGGGATTTGTTCAGGGAAGTAGCAGTGGAAAGAGTGAGCAGTGAAAGATTCTAACTGTATTTTGAAGGCAGAGCCAAGAGGATTTCCTGGTTGGTTTTGGGGTATTAATGGAAGAATCAAGGATACTTTCAAGGACTTTAGCATGAAAAATTGGAACGATGAAGGCAGGAGGGCAGAAGGCCTTTTCTTTAAAAAGGCAATATGGGAAGAATAAACTAGGTATGTACTCTTTAGAAGGTGTTTTCAAACCCAGTTTGCCAAAGAAACCCCCAAAGAAGCTTATAAAGAATCCAGATTCATGGACTTCATTCCTGGAGATTCTGTTTCCAGTTGATCTGGGGTAGACCCTCAGAATGTCTTTGTCTCCCCCCCCGCCCAGGTTACTCCGGTTACTTTTGATGCTTCCAATCAAGCCCTGACATTTGATTTGTAGTAGAAGAATGACTGTATAATATCCTAGAGCGTCCTGTACAAGTTAGGCCTCAGTGTTGCCTTTTGTGCTTATTCTATGACCTTGGTACAATAGCTGTCACAAAAAGAGTTAATGAAGCAGGAAAGTGCAAAAACAGGTATATTGGATGTCAGAGAAAATACACCCTAGTTGCCTCTCAAAGTATTTCCACACTAGACTTTGCTCTCATTTCTTGGGAATTATTAACATGGTCCATAAACCTCTGATAATGGCTGAACTTGTCCCAGATACGGTTTTCTCTCTTCAAAACACTGATTTATCGATTTACTACATTTTATTCCAACAGTTACGACTATTATAAAAGTAAATAAATCTATTCAGAACAGAATTTCTAAAGATTTTTTCTCTTTATGTATGGCTATTGCATCATGCTACATAGGTAGCTTAATTTTGTGGAAATAAAACTGGTAGTCTTTTTTTAAAACTTCTTTTATTGCCACTCATTGTAAAAACTATGTTTTATATTGTAACCTAGTATGTAGCATACGTAGTTGTATTAGTGTGTCCATGGATAGATGGATTTATGGCAATGAGGAGGGTATTATTGAAAGGAGGCCTTATTGAAAAAAGGCCTCAAGAAACAAATAGTTTCCCTTACTACATGAATTCATATATTTTTCATTGATTTTATTCTAATGTATTCTATTTTGATCTATTTTCATTTCTTGGAAAATGCTAGCCATATTCTGTTGAATTAGTTTATGAAACACACTAATGGGTCATAAATGGTATGGACCTAACAGAAACAGAAGATATTATGAAGAGGTAGCAAGAATACACAGAAGAACTATACAAAAAATATATTCACGAAGTAAGCCAGAAAGATAAAGACCATTACAGTATACTAACACATATATATGGAATTTAGAAAGATGGTAACGATAACCCTATATGCAAAACAGAGAAAGAGACACAGATGTACAGAACAGACTTTTGGACTCTGTGGGAGAAGGCGAGGGTGGGATGTTTCGAGAGAACAGCATCAAAACATGTATATTATGTAGGGTGAAACAGATCACCAGCCCAGGTTGGATGCATGAGACAAGTGCTCAGGCCTGGTGCACTGGGAAGACCCAGAGGGATGGGGTGGGGAAGGAGGTGGGAGGGGGGATCGGGATGGGGAATACATGTAAATCCATGGCTGATTCATGTCAATGTATGGCAAAAACCACTACAATATTGTAAAGTAATTAGCCTCCAATTAATAAAAATAAATGGAAAAATATATATATATTCATGACCCAGATAGCCACGATGGTGTGTACACTCACCTAGAGCCAGACATTCTGGAATGCAAAGTCAAGTGGGACTTAGGAAACATCACTACGAACAAAGCTAGTGGAGGTTATGGAATTCCATTTGAGCTATTTCAAATCCTAAAAGATGATGCTGTGAAAGTGTTGCACTCAATATGCCAGCAAATTTGGAAAACTCAGCAGTGGCCACAGGACTGGAAAAGGTCAGTTTTCATTCCAATCCTAAAGAAAGGCAATCTCAAAGATTGTTGAAACTACTGCACAATTGTACTCATCTCACATGCTAGCAAAGTGATGCTCAAAATTCTCCAAGCCAGGCTTCAACAGTACATGACCCATGAACTTCCAGATGTTCAAGCTGGATTTAGAAAAAACAGAGTAAGCAGAGATCAAATTGCCAACATCCATTTGGATCATCGAAAAAGCAGGAGATTTCCAGAAAAACATCCATTTTTGGTTTATTGACTATGCCAAAGCCTTTGACTGTGTGGATCACAACAAACTGTGGAAGATTCTTCAAGAGATGGGAATGCCAGACCACCTGACCTGCCTTCTCAGAAATCTGTATGCAGGTCAAGAAACAACGGTTAGAACTGGACGTGGAACAACAGACTGGTTCCAAATTGGGAAAGGAATATATTGTCTATATGTTGTCACCCTGCTTATTTAACCTATATGCATAGTATATCATGAGAAATGCTGGGCTCGAGGAATTACAAGCTGGAATCAAGATTGCCAGGAGAAATATCAATAACCTCAGACATGCAGATGATACCAACCTTATGGCAGAAAGCGAAGACCTAAAGAGCCTCTTGATGAAAGTGAAAGAGGAGAGTGAAAAAAGTTGGCTTAAAGCTCAACATTCAGAAAACTAAGATCATGGCATCCAGTCCCATCACTTCATGGCAAATAGATGGGGAAACAATGGAAGCAGTGACAGACTTTATTTTGGGGGGCTCCAGAATCACTGCAAATGGTGACTGCAGCCATGAAATTAAAAGACGCTTGCTCCTTGGAAGAAAAGCCGTGATCAACCTAGACAGCATATTAAAAAGCAGAGACGTTACGTTACCAACAAAAGTACATCTAGTCAAAGTTATGGTTTTTCCAGTAGTCATGCATGGATGTGAGAGTTGGACTGTGAAGAAAGCTGAGCGCCAAAGAATTGATGCTTTTGAACTGTGGTATTGGAGAAGACAAGTGAGAGTCCCTTGGACTGCAAGGAGATTGAACAAGTCAGTCCTCAAGGAAATCAATCCTGAATATTCATTGGAAAGACAGATGCTGAAGCTGAAACTCTGGTACTTTGGCCACCTAATGTGAAGAACTGACTCATTTGAAAAGAACCCTGATGCTGGGTAAGGTTGAAGGCAGTAAGAGAAGGGGACGACAGAGAATGAGATGATTGGATGGCATCATCAACTGGATGAACATGAGTTTGAGCAAGCTTCGGGAGTTGGTGATTGACAGGGAAGCCTGGCGTGCTGCAGTCAGTGGGGTTGCAAAGTGTCGAACACCCCGAGTGACTGAACTGAACTGAATGGGTCATAATATGAAAAATAATGCTATGGAAGAGACATCCATTGCAGATACAGCTCTGCCACTCTTTCTCCATTTGACCTATCAACTTTTCACAAGATGTTTATGGACTTCTTTTTAGTATAAGATTTTATGAGTCTTATCTAAATGATATCACTAGACTGCTTAAATTTTAAATTTGGCAAGGTAAATACATATTCTATGACCAAAGTATGATAAGCAACTATCCTCAGCAAATAAGTCGTGTTAAACCGTAGGTAGAAAATTAGGCATTTTTTCTTTGTAGTGGAAATATTTTCATGAAGGCCTTGGGCCACTGTGTTTTAGAGCATTGTGTTTTCTTTATCCAAAGCAGATGAAAAACAGAATGTAAATAATGTCAGTTACATACTTCAGAGGTTGCTTAAGTATATATAAGATGAATTTCTACTCAGGATACATTTAGGATACCCAAACTATTTCCCAAATAGTTATAAAAGATTATGGGAAACATACGTAGACTTTCGATCTGTCTTTTTTTTTTCTGCTCATGTAGTAAGTCATACAGTACTGGATATTGGAATGTTGAAAATAGTCATTTTAATACTAAAGCCATTAGAAAATTTGAAGGCCTTCAGGCTAATTGGGGGGAATTTTTTCTTTTTGTATGAGTAATTTATCTAGGCTTTTTTTTTTTTTTTTTACCAACCTATAAATGATAGGTTTGATTTGTCAGTTCTCAAAATAAACTAATTTTTGGAAAGTTTTTATTCAATATTTACATCATTTGAACTGTAACAAAAAACACTTGAGTTTAAAACAAGTGAAAACAATGAATTTCATTCATTATAATTCAAGACTTATTTTCTCCTTCAGTTGAAAAGAATTTTAAGCTTGTGTTATTCTACTAGGAATTGTGTGCATTTCAATATAATTAGGGCCCTGTTAGGAGTGCCTGAACAGAGTACAAACATGTTCTGAGAGACTTAGCTTAGACTAAGCTCAGTTTTCATAGGCATTTCAATAACTGTCCTTAACATCATTTTAAGAGATGATATTGAAAAATTCTTCCTCAAAATCTTATAAGTAATCAGTATTCAAGGGAAAGATTTTAGAGGATATTTTTAGAAAGTTGATGGCAATGAAAATCAGAGAAAGGCATCTAATGCATTTTGCTCCATAGCAGACATGAGGCATCCTTTTTCACCTGAGAGTGATACTGCAGTGTATCATGTACTGCGCAATGCCCCCTGAGGGCTAAAGAGAGTCCTTTAAGTCATCTACTGTCATTTTCTATCCAGGGCAGAGTTCCATGTTTAGCATCCTTGAGATACTACCTAGTAATTTTCTATATGGTATGGAGTCACAAAAGCCTTCCCCAATGACTCAGTGGTAAGAAAATCTGCCTGCAATAAAAGAATCTGCCTGCAGTGCAGGAGTTGCGGGAGCTGTGAGCTCTATCCCTCGGTTGGGAAGATCCCCTGGCAAAGGAAATAGTAACCCATTTCTTGCCTGGGAAATCCCATGGACAGAGGAGCCTGGAAGACTGCAGTCTATAGGGTCACAAAGAGTTGGACATGACTGAGTGGCTGAGCACATTCAAAGTATAGAGTCACAAAAGCAAGGGCAGTGTTAATGGTGAAGAGACAATAATTACTATGTGTGGTCAAAGGAAGGAGATATTCCTGATTAGGTGGTTGAAGAGTCTTCTCAATGGAGGTGGCTAAGAGACACAAATTTTCTTAGGAGTGACAGGTAGAATTTCACCTGAAAGAAGGCCTGGCCCAAGTAAGCATGTGGAAGTTAGAAAGCATAGGGTGTGTTTGAGGGACAGGAGTCTCAGGGCTGTAATTTCAGTAGAATGTTGTTGTTTAGTTGCTAAGTCATATCCAATGCTTTTACAGCCCCATGGACTGCAACCCACCAGGCTCCTCTGTCCATGGGATTTTCCAGGCAAGAATATTGGAGTGGGTTGCCATTTCCTACTTCAGGGGGTCTTCCTGAAGGAAGGATCACAGCTGCATCTCTTGCTTGGCAGGCATATTCTTTACCACTGAGCCACCAGGAAACCCCCTCAGTATATGAGTAATGTTAATTTTTCTCCAGGAGCATTGCAGTATCATTCCTAGCAGAGTATATTTGCAAGATAGCAGGCAAAAGTTAGCCAGTAAATTATTTTCCTCAGTCCTAACTGAGTCAAAACGCACTAGAACCATGCTTCATTGGGATGAAGTAGACAAGTGTCTGTGATACAGAACAAGCTGAATAATAGGCAGCAAATGCCATGTAGTTATAACTACTTATGGCATACCTTCATTGTAAATTATATCTACTATTATGTTTAGTCTATGGCCATGCCACCCTGAACACACGTGGTCTCATTCATCTATTATATTTCAAAACATTTTTGTTAGTAAATATTTTCTCTAAAAAGATTCATGTCTCTTATCTATATAAAGCTTGGATTTCCTATTAGTACATTTTAAAATGCAAAATAAATGCTTTTCTTTATTACATGTAGACACGGGGAACATGGAGGTGCTCCACCTATATGGAAGTGAGAAACAGAAGCAGGAGTGGCTAGAGCCTCTTCTTCAAGGGAGTATTGCCTCCTGCTTCTGTATGACAGGTAAGAGCAAATCAGTCACGTTTTCCCATTGCGCACTCTTGCCAGGTTATTATGGAGGAACTAAAGAAATGTGGAATGTGGATTTGTGTTTAGGCAAATTTTCCTGTCATCAGAAATATGAATGTGTTTGTTGTGAGCCCAGTTTTGATATTTTGGCATTTTAAAATTTGCAGAATAAAATCATTCCACTTTGGGAGGATACCAGATGTTTTCTGGCATCCTGCTTTAGCAGCAGAGTAAACCTAGTTTCATAATCTTTGGACTTGCATTTAAAATTGCCTTCTAAGGACATTTAAGATCTTTTTTACCTTCGTGTATGAAATATTCATCTTTGTGATAATTTTATACTGACACTTAAAAAGTACTCCACTCTGCCATAAATCGAAAAAAATAGAACTTTTACCCGTGTTGATCATATAGCTCAAATTATAAATGATAATCATGTGGGCTGATGAAAGTAGGAGCATGTTAATAAAAGTGGGTCTTGGTATATTTGTACATAGGAAACAGTTATTAAGAACTCTTACTCAAAGAACAACGTCATTGCTTTATAATTGAGTTAGAATTAAACTGTTCCATCTGGCCATAAATTTGTCAGAATTTATTATCCTTCTATAACACTGCATGCATTTATAAGAGTAAAACTGGGACCTCCCTGGTGGTACAGTGGATAAGAATCTACCTGCCAATACAGGGGACGTGGTGTGATCCCTGATCTGGGAAGATTCCACATGCTGCAGAGCAACTGAACTTGTGCACCCCAACGACTGAAGCCCATGCACCTAGAGCCTGTACTCTACAACAGAAGAGGCCACCGCAGTGAGACGCTCGTGCACTGCAACTAGAGAGCAGCCCGCGTTCTCCACAACCAGAGAAAGCCAGTGCACAAAAACAAAGACCCAGCACAACCATAAATATAAATTAAAAAAAAAAAACAAATTAAGTAGACAGCCAGCTCCTTTTCTAAAGAAAGAGTGTCTCTAGTTTTAGAAAGGGAACACATAAACTATTTGAAGGATACATTCTAAAGAGCAGCACATTAACAAATGCAGATTACTATGATTTAGAACTAGCCTGTTTAGTTCTAAAATGCAGTGCTGTAAAGCAGTCTTGTAAAGGTGTCCTATGGAAAGCTTTCTGAAGACATTAAATGTTGAGCCAGTTTTATAGAATGCAAAATAGATCGATGACAGCATTACTGATGGAATTTGAAAGGCACAGTTAGAAGTTGTTTAAGATACTACAGAAATAGTGTCAGAGATGTAGAAAACAAGCTATGGCTACCAAGGGAGCAAGCGGCAGGAAGGGATAAATTGAGATATTGGGACTGACATATACACACTACACACACACACACACACACACACACACACACACACACACATGTATATAATAGATAACTTGTATATAGCCTACTGTACAGCACAGGGAACTAATGACCTGTATGGAAAAAGAATCTATGAAAGAGTGGATATTATGATTCACTTTTCTGTACAGCAGAAACTAACACAACATTGTAAATCAAATATACTCCCAAAAAAATTAATTTAAAAAAAAGTTGGTTAATATACTAAACCTATGGTGATCAGGACCATCCCCGAGAAAAAGAAATACAAAAAGGCAAAATGGTTGTCTAAGAAGGCCTTACAAATAGCTGTGAAAAGAAGAGAAGCAAAAGGCAAAGGAGAATAGGAAAGATATACCCATTTGAATGCAGAGTTCCAAAGAATAGCAAGGAAAGATAAGAAAGCCTTCCTCAGTGATCACTGCAAAGAAATAGGGGAAAACAATAGAACGGGAAAGTCTAGAGATCTCTTCAAGAAAATTAGAGATACCAAGGGAACATTTCATGCAAAGATGAACACAATAAAGGACAGAAACGGTATGGACCTAACAGAAGCAGAAGCTATTAAGAAGAGGTGGCAAGAATACACAGAAGAAATATACAAAAAAGATCTTCACGACCCAGATAATCATGATGCTGTGATCTCTCACCTAGAGCCAGACATCCTGGAATGCAAAGTCAAGTGGGCCTTAGGAAGCATCACTACGAACAAAGCTAGTGGAGAGGATGGAATTCTGTTTGAGCTATTTCAGATCCTAAAAGTGATGCTGTGAAAGTGCTGCACTCAATATGCCAGCAAATTTGGAAAACTCAGCAGTGGCCACAGGACGGAAAAGGTCAGTTTTCATTCCAGTTCCAAAGAAAGGCAATGCCAAAGAAAGCTCAAACTACCACACAATTGTACTCATCTCACACGCTAGCAAAGTGATGCTCAAAATTCTCCAAGTCAGGCTTCAACAGTACATGACCTGTGAAATTCCCGATGTTCAAGCTGGATTTGGAAAAGACAGAGTAACCAGAGATCAAATTGCCAACCTCTGTTGGATCATCAAAAAAAGAGCGAGTTCCAGAAAAACACCTACTTCTGCTTTATTGACTATGCCAAAGGCTTTGACTGTGTGAATCACAACAAACCATGGAAAATTCTTCAGGAGATGGGAATACCCGACCACCCATCTGCCTCCTGAGAAATCTGTATGCAGGTCAGGAAGCAACAGTTAGAACTGGACATGGAACAACAGACTGGTTCAAAATTAGGAAAGGAGTACATCAAGGCTGTATATTGTCACCCTGCTTATTAAACTTGTATGCAGAGTATATTTTAAAAAAAATGTCAGGCTGGATGAAGCACAAGCTGGAATCAAGATTACCAGGAGAAATATCAATAACCTCAGATATGCAGATGACACCACCCTTATGGCAGAAAGGGAAGAAGAACTAAAGAGTCTTTCGATAAAAATGAAAAAGGAAAGTGAAAAAGTTGGCTTAAAACTCAACTTTCAGAAAACTAAGATCATAGCATCCCGTCCCATCATTTCATGGCAAATAGATGGGGAAATAATGGAAACAATGACAGACTTTATTTTCTTGGGCTTCAAAATCACTGCAGATGGTGACTGCAGCCATGAAATTAGGAGATGCCTGCTCATTGGAAGAAAAGTTATGACCAACCTAGACAGCATATTAAAAAGCAGAGACGTTACTTTGCCAATGAAGGTCCATCTAGTCAGAGCTATGGTTTTTCCAATAGTCATGTATGGATGTGAGAGTTGGACTATAAAGAAAGCTGAGCGCCGAGGAATTGATGCTTTTGAACTGTGGTGTTGGAGAAGACTCTTTGAGAGTCCCTTGGACTGCAAGGAGATCCAACCAGTCCATCCTAAAGGAAATCAGTCCTGAATATTCATTGGAAGGACTGATACTTTGACCATCTGATGCGAACCCTGATGCTGGGAAAGATTGAAGGCAGGAGGAGAAAGGTATGACAGAGGATGTTGGATGGCATCACTGACTCAATGGACATGAGTTTGAGTAAGATCCGGGAATTGGTGATGGACATGAGGTTGCAAAGAGTTGGACACGACTGAGTGACTGAACTGAACTGAACTGATGGTAGGGAAATATGGCTTGCAAATATGTAGTACAGATTTCCATTGTGGGAAGTAAACAATGATATTTTTAATATATGTTTGATGATTAGAAAGAGGATTAAGTGAGTTGTAACCCAAGTCATGTGTCACTGAGTAAGCCAAAAACACAATTTGGATAGCTGATCTATCTGAAGTTCTAAATATTTCATTCATTCTCTCAGTGCACATTTATTGAATACCTACTATGTGTAATGGTACAAAGATGAAAAAGACAAAGATGCCTCTGTCATCAAAGAGTTCCCATTTCTTTAAGTGTCTTTTATAAACCAGTGGTATCTGCCTGCCTGTAAATCCAGCCTTTGCTTATTTGTAGAGCCCGATGTAGCTTCAAGTGATGCCACAAATATTGAATGTAGCATCCAGAGAGATGGAGACAGCTATATAATTAATGGCAGGAAATGGTGGAGCAGTGGTGAGTATTCATAATGATCCTTCATGCCAGATGCTGTGCTAGAATAATAAGATACATAGTTATTCATTTCATGACCACAGTTCTTTAAATTGTATCTTTGAAAGCATTTTCAAATTTAGAAATAGTTGATAAAAGGAAAGTAATCTTAAAATAATGTCTTGATTAGGCAATGTTTATTTTAAGAGCAGAAAGCATCTATTTTTTTTACAGTTTGTGAGGTAAAAATTCATATTAGTGCACACCATGTTTAGCCATTGTCATTTCTACCAAAATTAAATTTTAGTAGGGGTATATTACCTGGACTATAATAATTTATACATAATTTTTAAAGAAATAAGCAGTACATGTTATTAAAAGTAATTTGTGGTACATATTTTCATTGCTTAAAAATACAAGTGTTTAAGTGAAAAATAAGAGTCTTTATATATAGGAAAATATTTAGTCAACCCTTGGTAATAGAATCACATAAGTGGATAATTCCTTTAGGCAATTATAAAAATTAAAACCTGTGATTGTCTGAAGATTGCTTCTAGAGTATACATGATAAGTCTAATAGGATAACCAGCTTATTACTAAAGAAAGTTGACATAAAAATAAATTATATGTTAAGAAACTTACTAGTAATACATTAAAATAGCCAGAAAAGCTTTTTTTTTTCTCATTGCTAGTTTTTATTCTTTCTGGAGTTTTATGAAATCACTTACAAATTAGGAACAGGAAAAAGAAAAAGACATTAAATGTTGCTGCATGATTATTCAAGTATTAAAATTATGCATGAAAATTGTTATATTAAAATTTAGATAATTTAAAATAACTGTAAATGACCCTTAAATTAAATCTCTTTAACAATCTGTTTTAGATGACCTAACTTGTAGTGTTTTTCTTATGTATGACTGTTAATACTATTTTCTTATATTGTTAGTTTTAATTTCTATGTTTTATGAATTTATTATTCTTTCCTCTTTTTCTTGGCTTCTACCCCACTCCCCTTTCCTACCCCAACCTCTTCTTTGCTACAAGTTGCCACCACAGTGATTGAAATTTGAATTTCAGAAAAATGCAGATGTTTGATCTCAGCGGGAAGCATCATTCATGTGTATTGAAGCAAGAGACAGATGGGTCTTATATTTAAATGCTGAAAGTACTGGTTGGCTCTGTAACTTCTTCAGATTCGAAAGGAATCTCCTCCACATTTTGTCTTTGTCTTCTCCAGGATCCGTATTTCTTGGCAACTTTCATGATGTAGTTTTTAAAAGAGGTTCCCATGAAAACATACAGGACTGGGTTGAGGCAGCTGTGAAAGAGTGCAATACTCTCTGTGATTTGGATGGCAACATCCATGCGTTTGCTCATGTCACAGTCAGTGATCAGGGAGTAGATGATGTCTATGGCTTGGCAGAACTTGACAATGTTATAAGGTAATTGAGTGACAATGAAAACTATGACCACTGTGAGCAGAACTTTGAGGGGCCGAGATTTTTTAATATTAGGCATCTTGATGAGTGTCTTTGCCGTGATGAAGTAGCACACTGCCATGATAAGAAAGGGTATTACAAATCCAATGCAGATTTCCAGGATTTGAATTGCTGCTTTCATTGATGTTCCTAGGTGGTATGGAAAGATGGGAATGCACCTAGCTTTATGATTTACTGTATAAAAAACCAACTGAGGGATACTCAGCAAGATGGCAGCCACCCAGACACAGAAACAGATGACCCAGCATGGTTTTCCCACTCCCGATTGACTGGGAGCTTTAGTTACTGCCCAGTATCTGTCTGTGCTGATACAAGCCAGAAACTGCATTCCAGAGACAAAATTGACTGTGTACAAGGCTGAAGTGACTTTGCACATGATTTTCCCTAAAACCCACCCATGAACTGCATTAACTGCCCAAAAAGGCAAAGTGAATAGAAGGAGTAAATCTGCCACTGCCAAATTCAAGATGTACACGTCTGTTTTGGTTCTCCGCTTTTTGTAATAGGCATAAATCGCCACTACAGTGGAATTGCCTGCAAGTCCAATGATGAAAGCTATTGTGAAGAAGGCAGGTAGGAAAACTTTTGCAAATTTTCTGACCTCTTCTTTTATACAGATCACTTCATACTGACTATAGTCATGAGTGTCATTCATTTCATTTTCCTCATAATAGTAATCTGTTGACTGGTTGTATTCCAAAGCCATGGTTCCAATCTAAATGGTAAAAAGAATACAGTGTATTTATTTTAATATTGCTTAAGTGGAAACACTTTTGCTCTAGCATATGTTTTTTGCTTTTATTAGAGAATAGTTTGTTGCTGTAACATATGTGACCCTGAGTCTGCCACTCTTTGAAACTCTTTAATGGAAGTCACATGGGAGTATACCCTCAAGAATAGTTTTTCATTGCTTGTTTTTACAAGTCTGTACAGGAACTGGGATTTACAGAAGGAAGATAAAAAATAATACCCTGGGAAATGTTCTTAATCATTAAGCCCTATAACTTTTACATACACAACTTTGTGATTCTTATGCAGTATGTCAACAATAAATTAAAAATTTAAATTAAAATAAATTATTTAAAATAAATGTTTTACTTATATTTATTCATGAATTTATTTTAAATTAAGTTAAATAAATTATCTGAGAGTTGTACTTAATTTTAGTTGTTGGCTTTTGTAAAACAAAGTCTCCTCTAGTTAGCTTCCCTCCAAAACTTGCCACTGCATGCTGATTGTAAACTACTGTTTGGTAGAACTCTTGTTCCACTAGTCACCTAAGCCTTAAGCCTGCACCATCCTTGATTCCTCTCTTATCTTCATCCCTTCATCCCAGATTTTCAGTCTGCCCCTAAATTCTGATTTTACCTTCCAAATAGGTCTCAAATCTGTCTCTTCCTTTTCACATAATTCAACCACATTATCACCTGGCCTATTACAATGTCTTCCCAACTGGTATCCTACTGTTCTCATTCCTTCTTACCACTTCCTTGTTCCAACATTTATTTCTCTTACTGCCATCAGAGTGCTCTGTCTCTAAGATGTCAGTCTTGTCGCTCTCCTGCTAACTCCCCACCTAAAAGACACATCTCTCTGAAAGATACAGTCTAAGCTCGTTACCCTGATGCCCAAGGCTCCATGATGCAGTCCTTCCCACGGCTCCTGTACAGCCTGAGCTGTACACCTCACAGTGCAGATGATGACAGCACTGACTTGCCAGTGGTTTTTTGGCACACACCATGCCATAGTATGCATCTACATCATTACTCATTCTGTTCTTTTATCTGATATACTGTTTCCTTCCCGTCCCTTGAAAGGCCATTTCCTATTCAGTTAACTCAGATTTCACCTTTCTAGAAGACTTTCCCAATCCAATAATTGTATCTACGTATCAATTGTATCTACATATCAGAGAACTGACCTGGTCCTATGGAGTTTCCCAGACTACCTTTTCCCTCTATGGTCTGAGTTCCCTAAGACTGTGACCTATTGGATTTCTGTTTGTAATTAATAACTGAAGAGAGTGCCTGGTACACTCTAGGTGGCCAGCAAATATTTATCAAACTATAACGTTTACTAATAGGTATAAAGCTGTTACTCTAGGAATGGAAAGATGATATTCCAGGAATCTCATGTCTCATCATTCTACTATGTTGTCAATTAATACCCTGTAGTATTAAGATAAGCTTGCACAAAATTCACATTTTAAAATATATATAATAATAACTTTTAGCATTTTTAGTATAGTTCTAAGCTTTGTTATGCTTTTTCCTTAGCCCTTCTGTCTTCCTTGGGTTATTTTTTGTCCTTGGAAGAATCGCAAATGTTCTTATAGAATCATTAATAAAGATATTATTTTCAAAACAGTACACCAGCTTATGCTACATTTTCAAAAGAATATTCTTATACTTGCTAACCTTTTGTAAATGAGTAAAGCAAAATTAAGAAGGCCACATAGAGGAAAAATACCACATAGAACTGCTTTCATTATATAAAAACCAGATGCTCACAATTTTAAATGACTGTTTTATCCTTATAGTTATTTGAAAAGTTCCAATCTAGAAGACCACTCTAGTGTTCATTTTCTTATATGTTAATTATTAACACAATATGAACTTTGTTCTTTCCTTCTCTTTTATCACAGAAATCTTGAACCTGGTGATAAGGTATAATATGGCCAAACAGTATAAGATATTAAGGAAAGATATTTTAAAAGAATTAATCATACTAAAAATATGAGTAAATAAATATAGGACTGGAAATTACTTGCAGAAGTGATCCTTCTGGCAGATAAATAGAAACACATTTAAATGCCTTTATAATTATTACAAGAATTTTAAAAAATGGTGTTTATAAAACGAAGCAAGAAAAAAATCGTATAGCAAACCCTGTTATTAACAAAGCTTTATAGGCAACTAATGGTATTAAAATAATATTTTCTTCTTGATATATTCATATTTTTAAGGTTGAAGTGTATAACTTTTCAAATAGCTATTTTTTGCACATGTAAACTTTTATGCCTCGATTCCCTCTGCATAGGTAAATATACAAAATCTTTGGACTTTAAGAAAAGTCATATCCAACTCTGAATGAAAAAGAAAGAAAAAACCAACCTGTTTCAGTAGGCAGACAGGAGCAGTCTTGAATGCAGAGAGTAAAATCAAATGACACTCTCTAACTCAGACTACTTTTGTTTTCGTTTTTACACCCCGCCTTTGTCTTACATCCAAGAGTGCTTTCCAGAGAGGTAATCTTGTGAGCACTTGATCTTTTATTTATGTATAACCATCCTGTGAAGTCAGATCCAAGTTCTTAAGTATCCTTGGTTATAAACTTAAAAAAGGAATTCAATCTTGTTTCAAAAGCTACAGACTTTTCCAAGTTTCCACTTAACTGAAGAGAATGGGAACGTGCCTGCAGCTGAGGTACTGACTGCCAAACCAAGAGAATTCACCAGAGCACCTCAAGGCAGCTAATAAGTACTTGTAGGTAATATCTAGACAAATACTGTCTAAAATTATTTTA